TCCAGGTCATTGATAAAGATGTTAAACACGTTTATTCACCCTCTTCCACACTGAATCTGGCCAAAATCTATGTAGAGAGGAGGCAGCTCTTCAGCGTGCGCCCTGCCACTGTGTCCGTGCCCATGCTGTGGTTCAGTGACAGGTTTTCTTGCCGTGTGTGATTCCTGCTTTGGCACTGCCCAGCCTGGGTGAATCCGGGAGTCACAGGGTGTGGGCTGGGATGCCCCCACTGAGCAGGAGAGCTGCCCGGCCTCGGCTTGGGTCATCTTCAGCTTTATCTGGCCAAGCCTTAGAAACCTCTGAGGATGGAGATCCCCCAGCTCCTGGTGAGCTGCCCCAGTGCTGCACCATCCTACTGGAGGAAAACCAGTTGTTCCTACAGCCTGACCTCAAATCGCAGGTGGAGGGGGGGTCACAAGCAATGTCTCTGGTCACGTGGGACTGAGCAGGGCAGCGCAGGACCAGCTGTCCCCTTGGCTCTAGTATACTAAGATGCCCCTGTTCACTTTGCAGGCAAAACCCCCCAAAGGTAAGACTGAAGCTGCAGCTTAGGGACATCAGGAATGCTCTGCCACAAGCACCCTTCACTCCGGAGCCATGTCCAGGTAGATGCGACAGAGGCACGGCTGCAGCCCAAGTGGAGGTGGCCCAATTCTCCTGCCCAAGTGTGCGCTGCTGGGGCTAGGGTTTGCCTTTCCTGGAGAAACATTTGCATCAGCAGAAGTTCTTGGCTTGTGGAGCACAAAGCCATCCCATGTGCGGCTCCCAGCATTGACTGGCTGGTGATGGGGCAGAGCTGTGCTCCTGAGCTGCTGCGGGAGCTGGAGCTTGCTGGGGAGCAGCTGGCCCATGCTCAGCACAAGAGGCTTGAAGCACTTTGTGCTTTTTCATGTTCCAGATGGCTGTGGGCCTTGATTTCCCATGAAAACCAAGGATGGAACAAAATAAAGCTGCTCAGAAAGACGGGCTCTACTCTGTCTCTAGCCTCAGGGGGTGGCTGTGGAGGTTTTATCATAGAGTCATAGAATGGCCTGGGTTGAAAAGGACCTCGCAGATCATC